AGTCAATGGGAAAAAGTGTTTCCGGGCCTGGCAACCAAACGGAAGTGTAGTACCGCCGTTTGGCCACCACGAATATTTTCATCTGAGTCTGGCGCACTTCCTGGGGGCTTGGTCAATCTGCTCCCACACAAACAGCTTTTCTTCAGCTATTCTCGGAGCCTGTGGGGCCCGAACCTTAGAGGGCTGCGCCTATACTCATAGAAGCTGGGTTACAGTACGTAACCCCAGTTCTATTTCGTATAAGGCTTCGCCCTCTAAGGCTATCGCTATTGGGTTAAGGGCGAAGCAGGATGTAGTCCACGCCCCACTGGTCCATCCGTTACCAGAAGTACAAAAACACATCTACTCAATTAATAACCCATGCGTAAAGGAGCATCACAGTCCCTGGAAATATAGCATTTAAAAAAATTAATATTCTCTTTGAGGGAATGAAGGTGAAATACCCGTCGTTTAAAAAAAGTAGAGATACAAAAATCCCACTTGTTAAAACGATAAAAGAGGGAAAAAGGGGCAGCTCTCTCAGTGCCGACAGGCAGGAGAGAGGGCACACCGTTTAGTCTCCGACATTACTCAATCTGACAGGACACTCAGTACTGAATGAGTAAGAGAGGAATGGGAGACATCCCTCAAATAAAAACGAATAAAAGAACAGGGGGAAGACCAAGATGCCGCCGTGCAAATGTCTACCACTGTCATTCCCCCGTGCAAAGCCGTAGAGGTTGAAATTCCTCTGATGCTGTGCGCTTTGATGTTTTCCGGGGGATCCACCCCAGAGGAGACATACGCCTGTGACACAGCCTCACACAACCAGTGTGACAGGCGCTGTGCAGACAGAGGCTGCCCTATTGAGTGCTCTCTGATGCACAAACAGGCGCTGGGACCTACGCAACGTGGCTGTGCGTGCAATATAGCATGACAGCGCACGTACGGGACAGAGGAGATGAGATGTGGCTTCTTCCTCCGATGTGTGAGGAGGAGGGAAGAAACCATCCAAAGTTATCACTCTCGATCTAAAAGAGCTTGTGATAACCTTTGGCATAAAAGCCGGGTTAGGGCGCAAAACAGCTGAGCTGCCATCTCCTTGGATCTGGAGACATGACGGAGCCACAGAGAGAGCAGACAAATCACTCACCCTTTTAGCTGATGTTAGAGCCAAGAGCAGAGCTACTTTGGCTGACAAGAACTTCAGGGGGACCTGATCTAAAGCTTCGAATGGAGCTTTACTCAGTGCGCGTAACACCAACGCCAAATCCCATTGAGGCGCCAAAGCACGTGACACCGGTCTGAGTCTCTGTACTCCCCGTAGAAAACGTGTTGTCGGAGGGTGACTAAACACCGTACTGACACCAAACCCTACGTGGCAAGATGAAATGGCAGCAGCATACATTTTGACCGTGCTATAAGCCAAATTCCTGTCTACAGCACGTGAGGCAAGGGGCACGTAACGGGGTCCAGGCTTTTCTCTACACACCAGCGCTGGAACGATACCCATTTGGCTGTGTAGGATGCTCTGGTGGACGCCGCCCTTGAACCCTGAATGGTACTGATAAAAATGTTAGAGAGGCCCAGCCCCTCTAAATGTTCCCGTTCAGGGGCCATGCCCACAAACGTTGGCCCAATACTGGGTGACCACTGATCGCTCCCTCCACCTAGGAGAGAGCGTCCCTGCGCCACGGAATTTCCCACGGTCTCCCTGACAGCATCCGCTGTAGGCATGGAAACCAGGACGCTCCCTTGCGTTCCGGTGCTATTAAGATCGCTGTCAGTCTCTCCTCCTGCACTCGGTCCAGGAACCGAGGGATCAGAGGGACTGGTGGGAAAGCGTATAACAACACCTTGGGCCACGGCCTGTGTGCGAACGCGTCCACGCCCAGGGGGGGGTGGTCCTGCGTTCTCAGGGAGAACCAGAGGGCACACTGCGCGTTCTCGCGTGCAGCGAACAGATCCACCTCCGCTCTCCCGAACCTGCTCCATACCTGGGAGACCAGTTTGGGGTGGAGGCTCCAGTCCCCTTGGCGAGGACCTCCTCTGGACATGAGGTCCGCCCCTCTGTTCAACACGCCGGGAATATACACCGCTCTGATAGAGAGTACACGTGTTTGCGCCCAGCACAACAGCCGCCTGGCTGTGCTCAGCAGCTGCGCTGATCGTACGCCTCCCTGGCGATTTATGTATGCCGCCGCTGCTTTGTTGTCTGTCCGAATCAACACATGTTGATTGAACAGCAACGGGGCGAAGTGCTGGATTACTCTCCATACGGAGATTAACTCGTTTATGTGGAGAGACATGTGAGCCGGCCACTGTCCCCCCACTGCCTGGGACATGCACATTCCTCCCCAGCCTGCGAGAGATGCGTCTGTAAACACCGCTGTGTGTGACGTCACTCTGCCCAGGGGAACCCCCACTGACAGGACGTGGAGATTTTTCCAATAGGCTAAATCCGAACCCACGGCAGGGGGAATGGACACCATGCGTCTCTTCTGCCGCACGGGGTCGATGTGCAGGCGAATAAACCACCTCTGGAGTCTCCTCATGTGAAGGAGTCCCAGAGGGATAACCACGTGACCAGTTGACATCATGCCTAACAGCTGCATCACGGAGAGGGCTGTCACCACCCTGCGAGGTGTGACGCGCCGGAGGAGAGCTGTCACTTTCTCCACTCTCTGCTGTGAGAGTCGCGCTCTCATGCGGGCTGAGTTCAATTCCACTCCCAGATAAACGATAACCTGGGAGGGAAGAGGACAGCTCTTCTTCCAGTTGACAATGAAACCCAGGCTTGACAGATGAGATACGAGCTGTACCGTCTGTAAAGCAGCCTCCTCCTTGGAGCGAGCCAGCAACAGCAGGTCGTCCAGATAAAATAACACCCTCATCCATCCTCTGTGTAGCGGCTCCAGAGCCGTCTCCACACACATTCCATGTACCCGCACCCTAACGTACCGATTGATCACCACAGCCTTTTCTAGAGAACATATTACTTTCATACTTTAAAAAGTATGAAAGGGGGGAGGGTACATTTCTCATAAGGGAACAGTTTAAATTGCTAACAGAACAAGAAGACCCAACCCATATACAGATATTGATGAAAATGATGACAGTGTGTAAATGATGTTAAATGTTATGGATGATAAATTATGAGATTGTTCAAAGAATGTCCAAGTCATGTGAAATTTCAAATGATGAAATCATTAGAATGAAGAACCAGCTACAAAGTGGTATTACTTTGCACTATTCTAAAATAGTTTCTAACTTTTATGTTTTATACTGTTATTATTGATGCGATTCACAAATGGTATGTTTCTTTAAACTTTGTAAAACAAGTGTCTTAACACTGAAAGTGGTATAGGAACGATTTCTGTGAAAGGAGGGAGTAAGAAATGTTCTAATACCACAAGTTGCTGCTATTTTAAAAAGTGATATTGAATGATTAAAACTAGAAGTTATGCACAAGGGAAAACTTTTATGTTTGAAGACGAGCCAAAGTATTTTTTGTATTTGTTGTATTTTTGATGATGGTTATTTAAACCATTCCATTCTGATTGTATGTTTTTGATATGAGTTATGTACTATGCAAAGTTCAGATGAAGAACTCATTAATTTTAGTATTGTGTTCACACCTTAAAAGGTGTGAAAGGAGGGATTGTTAGAAATTAAAATCAATGTTTAAATAGCATAATTTAGTCTAAAACATATCGTCAGTCTAAAAGCTGTTTTATTGTGAAAGAATCCGGAAGTTCTCAGGAAATCTCAATGCCAAGCTTTTATTCTGAAAATCCTTCATATCCGGTTAGCAGTTAGCATGTGGCTAATAATACGTTTTCTGAATGTAAAGTGAAAATGACATGGAGTGTTGCACACCAAAACCTACGGACTTTAACACTACATCTATAGACGTCGAGATATTATTACTGCTGAATATTAAATGAAGGTACAGTTGATCGTAGAGTGTTTCCACATACGTGAGTAAGCTATGACGTCAGAGGGAGTTACTGTAAATGAGAACTGTGCCGTAGAGGTGTTTCTAGGACTTCTAAACTAACTATTACAGCTGTTTATAAGGTATTAAATAGAAAGTCATGACAGAGATAAGGAGGAGAAAAGGCTTAAGGAAGTAGGCAGGGAATACAGAATGTCGAAATCATCTGTTTTACGCGATGTCGAACCAATGCAGATGAGAAGGGCGGTCCCACTATCTGCACAGCGGGAGAGAACAAGAAAAGTATAAAGGAAATCGAAACCAACAGCCCGGCCTCTTTTCTTCGCTGCAGCCTCCCCAGGGACATCACCGGCTTTGTCTCTTCATTACCTGTGCTTGTTCTTTGACCACGTTACTTAATTAAAGTACCAATTTGAACCTTTTCAGAGACTCCATTAGTCTCATTATTTTAAGTTTCTTTCCTGGGAGCGAGAAGATCACGATTTATCAACAGTTATACAAGAATATACGGTAATTGATTATATTCGATTATAACTAACTTTCGTTTTAATTATTCAACCTGATATGGAGATCTCAACAACTGTCACAGCCTATTTGACATTTTTTCTTATCCTAGTAAGTGTGCTCTACCACTCATAAAAAGTTATCTGACCTACAGTACGAGGTAAGCCAAAATAAGAAGACATTGGTAAATCCCAGAATAAATGTGGCTAACAAAATAAAGAATTCATGTGGGAAACAAAATGGGAATTTGTGTGTATTGAAATGTCCTGTGTATGTACTCACGTCGGGCAACATATATGTAAATTGTAATTTTTCAGTTGTTTGTACCATTATTCTTATGCATTTGTTACATTGAATATAATGTGAAATATACATTAAATATGTCAACCAGGTTAACCAGCCCCACTAGCTATATATATATTGGGTTAATGCTCATTAAATTAGTTTTTTGAAATCGTGATACATAAAGTCTAGTCTAGTCGAAAGAGGGACTATTTGAGAAAATAAAGATCAGTGAAAGTTAGCTGTAGAAGACTAATGATACAAAAACACACAACTCTTAAGGAAGATACCATATATTTTTTAATCATTTCATAATTTCTTCATCTCTCCCTTAATTACTACAGGACAATAACATGCAATTCAATAAACATCAATAGAATTGTTTAAACGTGTTCACATTAAGTATATTTAAGATATATATATATATATATATACCTGAAGAGAAGATACAAAACAATAAGCAACAAATCTTTTTAAAACATTGTATGGTAAGTCGCTCTGGATAGAATCGTCAGCTAAATGTAATGTATTGAGCAATGTAAACTGCATACATGAAATATGTAAATGATCATAACAGGGGGAAAAAACTGCAAACTGAACAGTACATGGAGAAAATGCATTCACACAAAGATGGTTAATCTGTTATCTCCTGTTTGGTTAACCTGAAAATACAATTGTTTAAACATAGAAAAAACGTTGGCAAACGTATTGAATTTTAAGTCTCTCAAGTGTCGAGACTCATCGTTTTTCTCTCATGATTAGCAGGTACTGAACTCTTTGAGCCCAACCTGGCTTGGCCTCAGCTTACTCTCATTCAGCAAGCATGTCAATGTACTCTGGATTGGAGGAAATATTTGGCTTCAAACTCTTTCTGTTTTATTGACATTGCTTGAACAACATTACTTTGGCGTTACAACACAGCATAACAAATCAACAACAAAATCACACATGCCGTTCGTAGACACAAAATATCCTGACATAATTCCTCTGTTCCCCTGGCTTCTATAACTCAGGTCAGTCTCTTATTCAGCATTTATTTCAAGGATTACCTTTTTAAATTCATCAACATTCATAACACATCTTTGCTGCAGAAGTTGGTTTACAGAATTGAAACCCTCATGATTAAGAAAAAAGAAAGTAAAAAAACAACTTGTAAGCATAGAAAAATTAACAAGGACCATGATTGGTATCATCCCTTGGTTATTAAGTCACTAAAAAGTCTGGATCAGTATCATCGGCTTAATTCTCTTCTTAAACTTGATATTATTTTCAACTCTTGTCTTGGTCTAAGTTGGCACTGGTCTTGATTCTCCCTAGGTTAGAGCTTCCTGACTTTAAAGTAGGGTTTCCCCTTTGCCTACTTTAGCCATGAGCTCTGCTTGTCCTCTCACCTCCATCAGGTACTCGACTCGTTGCTTCCAGCCTAACTTGCCCTCAGCTTTCTCTCCCTCAATAAGCATGTCAATGTACCCTGGAGTGGAGAGAGGATTTGGCTTCAGTGCGATCTCTCCTAGTCTGTTCAGACACTCGGCAGACCTCTTCATCATCTCCCCCACTTCAGTCCGAACACGCTGATATTCAACATTCATGTTGTCGATCAATTCCTGAACAGTTCCCTTAGCCTCTGAGGCCTTCAGGTACTTTTCTTTCTGGTCCTGCACGGTTTGCTTTTCTTTAACCTCCCTATACTCCCATTTGTACTTCTGGTTAAAATGTTGACTCCAAGGACATTTGCCTGGACACTGGGTACAGTTTCCATCTGGTCCCATTGCAGAACACTTTATTTTATCTGCATCATTGGCGTAGGCACATGACCCGTGACAGGTGAAATGACACACCTGACAGTTGGTGAGGAAGCCTCCAGTGCCAGAAATATCTTCTTGAAAAGGCTTTATGACGCCTACTTCAAACTCAAATTTCTCATTTCTGCTGATCTCTGCTTCATGCTGTTTAAGATGTTCAGTTGTCTCTTTAATCTCCTCGAGCTTGGCTAACCCTATTTTAACTTGCTTTTGCACATTTTCAATTGAGATCTGGAGCTGCTTTCTTTCTCCGAGGACTTCCTTTGTCATTGTCAAACTTTTGGTTTTCATCTTATCTAAGCCAACAAAGAACCTCTTCATGCTTTTTGCCCCCATTTCCCAGAACATCTTGTCAAAGTCTTCATCTTCCTCAACCCCACTCGAGTCAGCAGCAGAAGATGATTGGTTCTGTGCAAACAATGCAGAATTATTGAATTTGAAGTAAACTGGCAGCCCGTTTTTTGTTTTAGGACAAGGGACGCCTGAAGCGTTGATCGCCTCTAGAACTGGTGGGAGTTGGCCGTCTGAGAATGTCACCAGAACCTGGATGTTTTCTGCCACATCTTTGCCAAAGATTGAGAGCACAGAATCGAACACATACTTCTGTGATGCAGTGAGCCGAGCTAAAGCAGCCTGGGCTACAAAACACACAGCGTCAATTTCACTGACGCCATGCTCGGCAGAGAAGAGATTACGTATCTGTTCTGTGATCTCCTTGTCTCTTTTTATGCCTCCTGTATCTCCAAAGCCTGGGGTATCAACAATAGTTAGAGAGCAGGGGATTTCAAAGCCCTCTTGGTAGTTGATTTCGTACACAGTGACTTCGGAGGTCTGGCTTTCAGTTTGCGATCTTGACTGATCCTCGTCAACTAACTTAAAGCGATATGGATCCTCCCATTTAACACCTAGAATGTTGTTGATCATCCCATTGATGAGAGTTGACTTCCCAGCCCCAGTTGCTCCGAGAACCATTATGGTGCGATTAGTTTTACCAGTTTGGGACTCTTTCCCAAAACTGAATTTCTTGCACACTTTTTCATCGATTTTTTGTTCTTGCTGTGGAATTATGTAAACAGAAGGCCCTGTTTCTGATTTTATCAATGTGCTTTTTTCTTTAATTGAAAGAAGATTAAGCTGTTTGGACAACAATCCAGACATTATTTTGTTTTTGAAGTAGTGAATTTAAAATCAGGTGATACATGGACCAGGCCTCCAAAGAGATACTAGTTAATTCTAATCAGAAAACCTTTTAGACTTGTGGTCTGTGCAATAAAAGTGTGTCTTCTGCTCTTCAAGTGAATGGAGTGCTCTCAGATCCACATCTGTAAAAGACGACGTGTACAAAATGAAAATGTGTAGGATGTAGCACTCAGCTGAAGCACTATTATGTGTTCCCTTTTGCTACTTGTGCATCATGAAAACAAGTACAGGAAAAGGTTGCTATGACTAATATGACATTTATGTAGGGCACTTATATGATGTCAAGAAGCAAAAAGTATTTGAATAAGGTAAATCTTTCTAATCTACATTTTTGAACAGTTTCTCTTGATTAAAAATGCAATAGTAACAGTAGTTAGAGCTCATCCCAAATAATTGTCTTTTAAATCTGTCTTTACAAAAATGGCAAACCAATCTATGTATAAAGCATAATATACATGTTAAACCTGCTTACAAATAAGCCATTAAAGCTCACCTATTATGCTATATTTGAACAATTTATTATAGGGCCATATCTATACAAAACGTGTCTCTGAAGGGTTTTGCTCAAAATACCAAACAAATCACCCATTGTAGCCTCATAACCCTTATAATAATAATAATAACCCTTTATTTCAGCTGTTACAAAAGTGCTGATTCTGGGTCAGTAGCTACGGGGCCACGCCCCCATTGGAACTCACATCAGAAATTATTTATCCAATATATAATATTCCAATCACTTGTATATAGACTCTTATTGCACTATTTCACCATTTCACTTTTTTACTATTTTAATTGTTTTAGTTACTTGAGCGCCGACTCGAAGGAAAACATATTTCTCTAAAGGCTCGTCGAGGATCAATTATCGAGGAGGCTGTCTGGAGGAGCCGTAACCGAGGATACACTGATTTAGAGGAGAGAGGAGTCTCTCTGGAGGAGCTATAACCAAGGGTACACTGATGTATTCTCCGGAGTCGATTTCAGCCAACAGTGATGTTTAAAAGAGGCGTGACGCATGGCTGGACTTATGTCAACGAAGCACAGCTCTGCAAACTGTTCCCGTTGTGATTCTAAGTTATTTAAGAAGATCAAATGTGCATCAGACTTTCTGCCCTTTACCGTTTGTTTACTCACTAATCACATCTCCCCTGGATGTTAGGCTATTTTATTTTAATACAACTGCTTTCATTGTGACGCGAATGTTTACAGTGAGAACAGCTGCTGAGGTCAGTGCAGAAAGCAGAACAGTGTGTATAATATATATCGCTCAATAATATATGTAACAGGCCTACATTTCACAATTTATTTGTAGGCTTTAGCAGATATCTACAAATAAACAGTAGATATTGTTCATGCTTCACATAATAAAATATACAAGGGCTGTAGCCTGATATTTATTATATGCTTTATATGTGTGTGTTGTACAGTGAGTAGGTGTGTGTTGTGGAGTGTATCGGTGTCTGTTGTAATGAATATGCCGCCAGCAAAGGACATTGTTGGACTAACAGTAGGTGTGTGTGTGTGTGTGATTGTGTGTGTGTGTGTGAGAGTTGATGTGCCAGTAGCTTATCTGACATATAAATGGTCAAAAATTGTACATTCTCCGTTAGCCTACGAGCTCCATGTTCAAGCGATCGACTATTCCTTCACAATGTAGCATGACATTGGATATGCGCTTAAATTGTCGTGGATTGGAATATTTCCGATCATTTCCCTAGGAGGAGTTTGCAAAAATGTGCTTAAAATGCATGGAAAACGCACATTTTTCTAAATGGCCGACTTCCTGGGGGGCGGGACTAATGGAAGGCAAATTGAAATATGTGTGCAATCATAATAGCAATGTGTATACAGCGTTTCGTGAATATCGGAAAAACTGTATGCGAGTAGTTTGGAGTAATTTGCGACATGTAAATCGTCAAAAATTGTGTATTCGCTGTTAGCTTACGACCTCCACGATTGATTTATCAAAAATGTGCTCCGCAATTTATCATCATATTGGATAGGGGCTAAATGTCCTGGATTGGAATTTTTCCGATCATTCCCCTAGGAGGAGTTCGCAAGAATGTGCTTAAAATGCATGAAAAACGCACATTTTTCAAAATGGCCAACTTTCTGGGGGGCGAGGCTAATGGAAGCTAACTAGAAATATGTCCGCAATTCCATGAGGAATGTCTGTGCCACAATTCGTGAAGTTCTGAGAAACTATATGTGACTACCACACAATAGGGGGCGCTAGTGAGCAGTTTTTTGGAAAAATTACGTTTTTTTTTTACATTCTCAAAAAAATCGTGGGCTGTGACCTGTGTCCCAAGTTTTGCGTCCGAAGCCCATTTTATGCTTTCGCTATTTAAAAATTGTTTATAGGCCACACCCACATTCTGCATTTGTTGCGACACTTTAAATCTCAGTTCGTAGTCACCCCCAAAGTATGTGTAAAAAAAGCAAAAACAAATTCGTCCATCCGTTCTTGAGTTAAAAATTGGTGGTGTTTTTGGCGCCCCCTATAGTCCAAAATGAAAATGCTTTGTTGTGCCTATTCCCCAAGACAGACTGAACCTATCCACCAAAATCAGTGATGTTTGGATACATTGTTGATGAGTTATGAGCATTTCTTTCAAAGCCCCGCCTTTTTGCGAGTACGTTTTGATTCATGGCGGCAATATTTATCGTCTGAACATGCTCATTTTCTACGGTAAAGTGTCTGACCCTCCACCGATGCTATATACGAAGTTTGGTGTTGATAAACTGAACATTGAAATTGAAGTTAACATTTCACTGTTTTGTAAATTATGCTAATTAAAATCAAATAAAAGTAGGCGGAGCTTAGGGGTAATATGTAGAGCAGGCCCACCCGAATAAGTGTACAAAATGTCAGGTCATTCTGAGTTACGGTGCAACTTTGTACATCTTTCCAAAAATGGAAATGGCCATAGGTGGCGCTAGAGAGCACGTTGGACAATTTGAACCCATCGACTCCAGAATGTTGAATCTTTCACCGATTCTGGAATCCGTGCAAAATTATACAACTTTTGAAGCATCCTAAAGACCTCAAAAACAGGAAACGCCAGCAGAAAAATAAGAAGAATTTCTCCAATAACAATAGGTTCCTCGCACTTCGTGCTAGGACGCCGTTGGGTCCTTGCGCTCCGTGCTCGGGCCCTAATAACCTAAATCTCCAGGCATAAAAAAGTTGCCATTTGTAAGCAAGCAACTTGGTCATTATCAGCTGGCTTGCAGGAGTGCCAGAAGCAGAGTGGATGCAGTGTTGAGTACTTTCTTACAGCAACAATGGAAGCCAACATGAGAGCAAGAGCAAGAGCAAGAGCAAGAGCAAGAGCAAGAGCAAGAGCAAGAGCAAGAGCAAGAGCAAGAGCTTGGCTGAGAGTGAGAGGAGGAGGAAGAGGTGGGGTGAGAGTGAGAGTGAGAGGAGGAAGAATGAGAGGTAGAGGTAGAGCTGGAGGGAGAGGACGTGGACAAAGAAGAATACTCTCTAATGAAATGAAATGTTATCAACCATGGTTTGACGATGAGAGAGGCTGGAGAGATGGTTCAGCCTAATCTAAGCCGATTTACTGTTGCCTCTGTAATCCGGACACTTAGACTTGAAAACAGGTTAGTTACCAGTTTTTAGCTCTGCATAATTCATGATATATCAGTGCTTATATCTGTTGTGTGAAACGTATTTACTTCATTACTGTAATTGAATTGTTGGCATGTTGCATACTATAACTGTACAAAAATCCTGCACAATTGACAGTGGTAAACTTACTTTTATGCAACACAGACACTGACCAACCACTATATCTGTGTTGTTTATCTGAAGGACTGAGAAAAAAAGAGGTGCAGGTGGAAAGCTAAGGATTTTCAATGAGACACAGGGAGCAGCAGTTACAAACTGGGTTTTGGCAAACAATGCCATCACACTTAGAGAGATCCGAAGCCTAGTAACTATGTGCTGAGATGCATGTTGCACAATGTTATTTTTGAATAAAATATGAATTTTTCATCAACTAATTTGTATTTCTTCATTTACTGTATTTCTGTATACTCAAGCAATCGTTCTCTACAGAAACCTCTATGTACAGAGCATAGCCCATAACAGATGAAAGTGCTTTAGATTATGCTCAGCAGTGTGTAGTTGGGTGATCAAACAATCTAGTATTATGAATGAAGTGTGTTATATTTGGTGCAAAAGTTTGCATTTGGTAAGTGTTTATGTAGTTTTGAGTGCAGTTCTTCATTTAGCAGGAGAAATTAGGTGTTTTGCACTTTGGGTGTGTGGTTTTGTGAATTGTGTTTAGTGTTCTGAGAAACTGAGCAATTTAAAAAAAAATGTGTGTTAGCAATCGAGAAAAACTGTAATATTACTTGAATTATTTGGCCAATCAATAGTTGCTATTTAAACGTATTTAATGAGTAAATGTACTATCTACAACATGATAAGGTCATTATTTTCATCGGAAGTTGTGAAAACATTTTTTTAAATCCCCTGAAAAAACTAGTATTAAATACAAAGAAACTGTTACTGACAATGAATTACAACAAACCTCTGTTGGCTGTTGGCCGTTCTCAGTCCCGTCACTCAGTGTAAACCCAGCTTCTGATATTTCAACATGCTGCTTTGGACTCCAAATTCCTAAAATAAAGCAAATACAAAGTTGTACTTTTATGTATTTCTATTTATATAAAGTTCAACAGTCAGTCATCAGTCACATTTAGTCATCCATTCTCCTGTGGCTGTGTTTTTCACATGTCAATAGATTGTAATAACTAAGTATTTATTTAATATGATTAGTTCATTCAAAACAGTTTTTTATTATATTATTTGTAAATCGTAGTCTGCACATCACACTACATTTACTAAATAAAATACTTTTGCATAACCCCACCCTACCTATTGCATTGAGTTGAATGTACTGAAAATTACATATTGTAAGTCTTCCACCTCCGCTGTCCACTAGGTGGCGCTAGATAATACACTTCTAACAAAGAGCATCTCTATCGTGTAGAACACAAATTGAAATGTTCAAGTAAATCAGATGATGTTCTTTATGCTGACTTCGTGTTGCCAGTCGGTGGCACTATGACTATTACCTGATGTCGACCTTTAAAAGTCATCAGGCTGGGACTCTCATCAAACACAAGAAATTAAGGGCAGTTTGGAGTTAAAACAACTTTGTGTAAGTGTCTCAAAATGACGGTGATGCCCCGACAAGGGTGCTCCATGTTGCAGAAAGATTTGTTATCGTATGTGCAAATATCATGCATGTAGGTTAAAGTTAACTTTGTTAAAGTTATGTAGGGGCCCCCTCCAAAAAAAACTTGCACCAAACTACATTAATAATATCAGTTAACTAAGTTTATCACGGTTAAGAAGTAATTCATTTTAATGGCGTTCCAAAAAAGCGCACAAGCTTCGCAGTCTGCCAAGGGGAATATCTTAACATTGAGCTGACCAAATATGAAGGTGATCTAGTTTACCTGCCAAGAGCTGTAAGCCAAAGTCTAGCAACAGTAACTTCCTGCTGTGGCACTTTGATTAAAAATGTCTCCAGGACGGAACCGATTCTAAACGTGTTTTGAAAGTTTGACCATGTAGAGGTGTTCTACGCTAACGCACAAATGTAACTCTAAAGCTTTTCCCATGATGCTATTAAGACAACATTTTTGAGAGATCTGAATAATCAACTATGATAGCACTATGTATATACGTCAATATTAACGTGTAGATGTCTTCATGCCTGGACTCTTATCATCCATGGGAAATCTGGAGTATATTAAAGAATGTTTGCTCTACTAACCGCAACTTCCTGCGCTTTTAACCGCCACACCGTGGGGAGGGCGTTCGATGTAGAGTAAAGCTTTTGATATGTTTTGATCCACGAGGTCTTAAGATGGTACCTACCAAAATGTAACGATAGTTGATTGGATGACATTTGTTCAAATATAGCACGCAAAAGGGAAAGATATGGTCAGAAAATGCACATGAAATTCAAAACGACTGACTTCCTGTTGGGTTAATGATATGACACCATGGGGCTTTTTTGTACGTTTCCCCATGCTACATATTCCTACCAAATTTCATAGTTCAAAGAAGAATGAGGGGCTGATTTTTAGCAACATTTTAGGGGCTGCTATAGAGCCCATGCATGAGATCAAGACCCCTTAAATATCACAGTCCTGACAAGTGTGCCAATAAAATCCAGCTTTTAACCTGTTAAACCCCATGCCCCCGCCGGCGGGTTCTCAGGGCTTCTTAACATTTAATGTGTCATACCCACTTAACGGGAAGACACTCAGCTAACTGACGATATGAACAATTTTTACCGAAACAAAATACAACTCTAACACCAAGCCTCTGAATTAGCACTACGCGAAAGAGTGCTAACGCACTTAGCACATAACTCAAGGTAGCAATATTCTATACTTCATGCAATCTGCACAAACTAGATATCATATGAAAGCTGAGATTCCACGGATTCCAATGGTATAAGTATCATCACTGTGCGACCAAAACTCACGGCAGTGAAGCCAGGAAAGACAACACACAACTTCCCTTTACGGAGCCAAAACGGCAAATACGTCTTACCTTTGCTGTTTTCTGATCAAAAGTTGTGTTCAATGGCATTAAAACGCATATAAACGCTGCTGAAGGTTAATCCAATGTCTCTGTGTCACTTTGAAATGATTACTGATAATCCATCATAACATTTATGGCAATAAACCTAGTTTTCATATAGAGCGTAACATAGCTTTCGCTTTGGGCAAACTGCGTGCGCATCACTCTCAATCCTCAATGGTAATGTTTAGATGGATTTAGGAACGTCCCCTCGATTCTATTGGCTCTAACGGTTCAAAAGTGGTGTCAATCACCAAAATCGACCAATGGGTTCCAGAGATATAGCAATCCACCCAAATGACCCCAGAGGTGGGTTTTTTTTCTAAACCTCTCCAAAAAGGTCAACTTTCACTTGTTTTGCATCAATCTCTTGATACAGGGTACTTATTATATGTTATAGTTTGGATTCCTAAAGCTTTTAGTCTACTATCCCATCATTGAAGGGTGGTTTTCACTATACTGTAAGTCATGTTTTTTCTTTGGACAGACACTATAATTTACATTTTTTTACTATTTTCAATCTGAATTTACTTTAAAATAAAAACATCTATATTGATAGAACAGTTAAAGACACTAAGGCCCTTTAAAATGCAATTTCTTATGTTAATAATAACTTAAAGGATTTTAATAATCCTATGCTCCTACTTTGTTGGTGCCCGAGCCCTAATAAACTCAATTTAAATATTACTAAAACTAAAACTTAATCATGCCATTTTGTTTTTACAAAAATTCACTGTCACCTTAACAATGGAATTTAAAAAGTGTGAAAGAGTATTTTAAGCAACTTACCACTCAGGTCTTCTCTGATCGTCATGACAGGGCGAGTTCTGTAGCTGCTACTTATACACCACACATGCACACGCACACGCACACGCACACACAAACACACACACACACACACACACACACACACACACACACACACACACACACACACACCACACACACACACACACACACACACACACACACACACACACACACACACACACCTATTTCCCAGAAATGCCACACCATGAACATGAAAAATAATCTGCTGGGTTTTTTGTACTCATCTCGATAAGATATTATCGAAAAATTATTTTACATATATATGTTTTATCAATAATGTCTACCAGCAGATGAAGTTCTTTAAAGTAAAAACATTTTCAGTTCAAATTTGTCCTAGTTTGAAAGTTCAAGCTTGTACCAATGACACAAAAGAAACACACTAAATGAAAAATTGCCAACTTCTTGTTGGTTTTTTAGACAAGAGCCCCAAGAGACATTTTTTTAAGTGTATTTTTTTACACATTCCGTGCAAATATCATACACGTAGGTCAAACGTACAGTTACGGCTGCTTCTTCAAAGTTATTTAGGGGCACCCCAAAAAAAATTCTTGCACCAAACTAAAATGATCATATCAGTAAACTTATTTATCACTGTTAATGCGTTTGCCAAGCATTCTTAAGCCTTTAAAGAAGTATTTCCTGTTAGTGGTGAACACAGCGTTCCACAAAAGCGCACAAGCTTTGCAATTAAAAAAAATGTAAGTGAAACTCAGGGCTCACATGGCAGGTTGGCTGGGGTACAAGAAAAACAGCTGCCGAGACATTTTTGCTACGCCCAATGTGCGTGAACGCTATTTCCTGTTAATGGCAAACAAAGCATTGCACAGAAGAGCACAAGCTTTGCAGTCTGCCAAGGTGTATATCTTAACATTGAGTTAACCAAATATGAAGGATATCTGGTTTATCTGCCAAGAGCTGTAAACTAAAGTCTAGCAACATTAACTTCCTGCCAGGATTCTAATCAAGCATGACATGTGTGGCATTTTTGAGACTGTACATCATCATCATCAGTTTTATTTGAAGAGACTCTTGGTCCATTATTAAAAGACATACAACACTCAAATATAAATTAAAAAAGGCAGTTATACCAATGTTTCCACAGAGGTGACTGGTATCGTACAGCACTGAGACACGGATTTGAAAGTAGCATAATGACAGACTTATGAGAAACATTCAATCGACAGATGAAGTTGTACATCAGATTTCTCAAGAGAGCATGGAACGTGTTGACTCGTGCATTACAAAACATTTCACTTGCACTGCACCACCTTGGTTTTCTAAGCAGTATACGCAAACAGTCATTATAAGCAACCTGGAGCTTCTTGAGGCTCGCCTTCTTAAACTTGACCCACACTCAAGTAACAACGACTTTGTGTGACATGGCGAGTGTCTCTGGCTGCAAGACTACGGCAAGTAAGTATGTGTTGTGCAAATACAGTATCTTTCATCTAGGTATAATATACAGCAGTGGCGAGCCGTGCCAAACATTCTTAAGCCTTTAAATAAGTATTTCCTGTTAGTAGAGAACAAAGCGTTCCACAAAAGCGCACAAGCTTCGCAATTTAAAAAATGTGAGTGAAACTCAGGGCAGGTTGGCTGGAGTACAAGAAAAACAAAAGGCTTGGAAAACCGAAAGTGTAAGAATTAACTTCTTCAGGTCACGAGAACCCAAGGTTGTCACGCACACCCAAGGTTCTTTTACATATGTTTTATCAATAATTTCTACCAGCAGATGAAGTTCTTTAAAATCACAACATTTTCAGTTCAAATTTGGCCTAGTTTCAGAGTTTTGCATAATAAAAAAGGTTAAGCCTCACTTTAATATAGCACAAGTTCATATTTTGAGCAGAAATGTTGTCTTATGTTGCAAGCTTGTAGACCAATGTCCAAAATTGTCTAAAGCCACTTAACCTGTTAAGCCCTGAGCCTGTTTTTCAGGTCTCAGGCTCAAAAATGACATTCCCAGAAAAAATGACCATATCTTCACTTCTAAAAGGGTTACATTAATAATCTTTTTTCTCAAAGTAATGATAAACCTGTGAGTTGGATGTAGAAAAGTCAGAATCAATATAGATGTTTTTTATTTTAAAGAAAATTCAGATTTTACATAGTAAAAAACTGTAAATTATAGTGTCCGTCCAAAATATATTTTTTACTTATAGTGAAAACCACCCTTGGATGATGGTAAGGTAGACTAAAAGCTTTAGGAATCCAAAGTACAACATATAATAAGTACCCTGTATCAAGATTGATGCAAAACAAGAGACATTTGACCTTTTTAGAGAGATTTAGCAAAAATAAACCACTTCTGGGGTCATTTGGGTGGATTTTCCATATCTCTGGCCCCCCTTGCTCGATTTTGATGGTTGACACCTCTTTCTGACCGTTAGAGCCAATGGAATCGAAGGGGGAGTCCCCCACTCACACTCATCGTGAAAAGAAAAGGTGGGGGCTTCGTGCATGCAGTTTTGCATCAGAGTGAACCTATCTCTAGCTTTGACATCTGGAAACGGAAAAGCAGTTTTATTGCTTATGGATTATCAGAAATCATTTCAAAGGGACACAGAAACATTGGATTAACCTATGGATTAACTTCAGCAGCGTTTTTATCGTTTTAATGCCATTTCGCTCATTGCTAATTCAGAGGCTCAGTGTTAGCATTGTGGGTTTTCTTTTGAAAAAAAAATTAAAATGAGTTTCTTCCCGTTACATGGATATAAAACATTCATAGTTTATTAAATGAACATGCCCTCAGACACTGTTTCCTGCAAGATGTTGCGGCAGTGCCCCGGTACCGGGGTCTCTCGGGTTTAACAGGTTAAGATTGATTTCAAATCCTAAAAATGGCAAAAAAAAACACACTAAATGAAAAATGGCCAACTTCATGTGGGTTTTAAGACAAGAGCCTCAAGATCTTCAAGAGACTCTGTGCTCCATGTAACAGAAAGCTTTTGATATATTTGGAACTTAAAATGTTACTGACCAAATTTGAAGTTGATCGTATGAAATCTTTAGGAGGAGCTCATTCAAACACGATGTGAAAAGTGTGAACATTTCCAAAAAACATATATAAAATAAAAATGGCAGACTTCCTGTTTAGTTTACGCTCCAAGTTTCCTTTTTTTGTTGTATCAATGTGATACACATACATACCAAATGTCATAGATCTGGGTCATTCGCAAATATAGGTGCTGTGTTCTAGGTGGCGCTATTGAGACATTTTGCCACGCCCATGTGCGGAAACGTTATTTCACGTATGGTATTTCCTGTTAATGGCCAGCACATCGTCCCACAAAAGTGATCTGGTTTACCTGACGAGAGCTGCAACCCAAAGTCTAACAACAATAACTTCCTGCCAGGATTCTAATCAAGGTGGCCATGTTTTTTGGCTGACCAATCATATTTCTTATTGTAATGTGTAAGACCCTCTGCCAAAGCTCTATAACACATTTTGCAAAAAATCAAAGTAGAGCAGAACTTAGGGATACCTACATTTTTATGTAGAGCTCCGTCACCCAAATATGTGTGCCAAGTTTCAAGTTCATCAGACTCACCAGGAGAGAGATATGGCCTTTCAATAGGGGGCGCTATAGATCATGCTGTAGAAACTCGAGGACTAATCCTATCTGCAATATTTTATAAAGTTTCCTCGATTATAATATGGGCCAGAGCACGATTATTATTAGGGCAAAATTATTGTTCGGGCTCTTTATATTTCTCTCCTGATCCACCTATTTAAAACAAAAGACAGCAAAAGTAAAGTTATTCATAACCAGATGAAGCAATCGGCTCAGTTCTATTCAAACCACTCTGATGTAAAAACAGTTGATACACAATTGGTGAATTGGTTGCATGTATTAATTGGAGTCTAGCAAATAATTACAATGAACATAGAAAAAACAAATGGGTTGTTAAAATGAACTTTTCATAAAAGGTAGACAGGACAATAGTTTTAGTTTGAGTTTGGACTGGCAGTAGTTTATCCAGAATGTTTTAGAATATTTTCAATCAACAGGAAATCAAACAGTCTTCAAACTGGAACACATTCAAACTATTCAAATTAGAATGCTAAGGTTTCAACCAAAAACAACATATTTTATTTAACTTTTGCCTTCAGAGGAGCTTGTCTACAAACTATACAATGACGCAGATGTTTAACAGTTTGGAAAGCAGCAGTGTGAAATTATATGAATAAAGAATGCTGGTGTATACTGTACAAGTCTGGCCTAAATCTTAGGTCAGAAAGACTGCAGCAATCCAGGGGGTGTCGTTAACCAACTTTATTTACTCCACAGGAATTTGGTCAGTACAGTATATTCTTTTGTTGTGGTTATCTAGGAAAATATAGATTACAAAGTAGATACAATTAGTTAAGCTGTTCTAACAGATGATAATGCAATCCTAAATAATTACAAACAGCAATGTAAACAATAGGATACCATTTCCTGATAGGGACAGTAAGTACACAAACGCTTGGTATAAAAACAATACCCGAAATGCCCTCAAGAGGACTCACTTGACCGCAGAAAGTGTAAGTGTTTTAACACGTGATAATGGCGGCTGACAGAGACATAACGTTTTACATGTGGCAATAAATGATGAAACGAAATGTGCAATGTATCAAGAATACTCAAATTAGTTTTGTTTGCTCATGACACAAATATATTTTATTCTGCGGATAATTTATAACTATTATTGGAAGAGAACACAGCAGAAATATGCAAACTAAAGTTATGACTCAACATTAAAGGTAGGGTAGGTAAGTTTGAGAAACCGGCTCGAGATCGCTAGAATTTGAAAATACACAACCGGAGAAAATCTGCCACTTCCTTATAGAGCCCCTCCTCCAACACACACGAATGCGCACATGACCAATGAGGGCACGAAATAAGTTTGTGCACAGATGGAAGGCTGACAGGCAGGTAGGCCATCCAGTTATTTTTGCCGGGCCGGCTAAAATGATTGGTCGTACTTTTTACAGTACTACAGCTTCCACAGATGACATTTTTTTATGGATTTTTT